GGGATTATAGGACTGAAAACTCAATTCAAGGTCAAAGATGGCAACAATGTTGTTCAGACAGACAATAATCAGGGAGAGAGATGATATTGATGTTTGAGGAGACAATGGAAATGTCGTTATACCAGTGCTTACAGGAACAAGTATGGCTCGCCCAAGATGTTGGACAACCATGTTGGAAAATTAACCACGATCATGGTCACAGAGACATCATGTGACTTTGGTTACAGACTTTAATGCTTGAGCAGAATGGAATATCTAACATTGAGAGATATTACACTAAAAATCCACTGTATTGTGTTAGTCTATTGTGCATTAAATATAGAAGGTTGAGTAAAAGCAATGAGCATGCTTTCTGGTGCACAGCTGTGGAAATTCTTATTGTTGAACTGAAAATTGACAAATCCAGTCAAATTTCAGAAGCATGAATCCATGGAACGTACTTGATTATGGACTGCATAAAACAAGGCTTACTATCATTTTGTATGTGGAGGACAACAAAGATTTTGCTGGAGGTCTCATTTAAGCATAATCCTAGCATTACATAAGTGTAATCTACTGAACTGTCGAAATAATCTCAACTGTTACCAAGAGATACAAATATCACTTTTATACCTACCGCTAATTACAAGCATTCTTGGAAAAAGGCACTGTATAGAACTCCCTGATCTGATGTCATCGAGTTCCTATTCCGCTGATCTGATAAATGGGCAGTATTCACTCACATCAATGTGGCAGAACCTTTGAGAGATAACGCTGGAGAAGAACTACACAACATGCCTACAACTAGATTAGACCTGACAAATCAGCAGTTTTAACTTTTAAAACCAAACCAGCAGGAGGTAACAGATAGGCTTTAATACAGTATTTTGGATTCCCAGAAGTAGAACTTGCTTCCCCATTTAATTTTTTTTTTTTAGGTGAGCATTTACATTAAGGCAGATCAAAGTCCAATCTACAAGATCCAAATGTTATGGAGTACAAATTCCTATAAGGTTCAAAATGGGCTTATATATGTGTCAGAATTCCAAAGAGGTGACAGTTTAGAGGGTCAGAATCTGGGAACATAACTGTTCTGAACAGAGATCAATACAATGAATTCTGTGTACAGCACTGGAACTTTGTCTGTAGCATTCTGAGAAATCAATATCACTTACCCACATATCTAGGAACGAAGAGCAAATGAAATGTCAGCGTTGTACCCTATATCTTATATCATTAGCTTCTAATTCGAACAAGAATTACACCACAAAAACAGACCAATTAGCCTAACCAGTCTGCATCCACATTTTTGTCCCACACAGACTTCCATAAATCACATACCTATTTTTAGCATACTAACTCTTCAGCTCATTTTACTTCACCCACCTACTTATTCAATCTCATTTCGAAATGTTGAGTTTGCGTTACCACAATTCTTGGAAGTGAACAACAGTCCCTCAACTTCCGGTCTTCGTTCTGAACCTTACATTAACCTTGCATTTCCAATCCTCATTCTTGACTCAAGGACTGAAGTTTACTGCTGCTTTCTCTCATTCTTTCATAATTGTAAATACTTAATTACCTTATAACTGTAGTTGTAGCTGTGCAGACATTTTGACGAGTGGCGGGTGTCTGGAAAACGACTAGTTCCGTGGGCAAATGAATATTAAAATTTTGAGACTTCCATATGTTGGACCAGCAATACTCAAAAAAATGCCCATTGAAAATGCATTTTAATTTTGAACCTAGGTGGTGTTATAAGTCAAAAGCAGTGTTCAAGAAGAAACCATGGCTGTTTCTTTAGACATACTTACCAACCTGCAAGTATGTTTGTAAGACAGGATACCATCCCAAGCTTCTTCACAGGAGCAGAGTCCGACAAAATTTAACATCAAGCAGAAGGTGGGGATATTAGGATAGGTCGAAAACTTGATAAAAGGTAGGTAGACTTTATCAAGGTTCTTAAGTAGAAAAAGGGTAGAGGCAAAGAACTTTAAGGAGGGAAGTTCTAAGCTTAGGTTGGTTAAGGGACGGATGTTAATAGCAGTAGGAGGACGCACAAGAAATCAGTTAGTGGAAGGCAGAGTTCTTCGAAGGAAATATAGTGGGAAGAGGCTACAGCAATAGACATGGGTTAGAAGTAGAATGTGGAATTGGGTAGGGGTGGGGTGGTTGCAACGCAAATCAACAGTGCAGGAATGAATGTTCTGGCAGAGGCCGAAGGTAATGCCTTTGGTCTACTAAAGTGGAGGAAACTAATTCAAACAGAACAAGCAATCTAAGGTAATGGAGAGGTTGAGACAGATAGTTATGAAATAGAACAAGGTGCTGTCCACACAAGTGTGAAGCCTGACATAACGTCTTCAATGATGTTGCTGAGGGGTAGCATGTAGCTTTGAAATAGGTGGCGGCCATGGACATATCTTTAGGAGAGTCCAAAGATAACAGCGTGGGAGCAAGGAACAGAGACAATACAGAAGGTTCTCTGTCTACGATTGAGCAGGGCAGAGGAACAATGGCATCAAGAATAGTGCATTCAATTCCACAAGTTCATCCTGCCAGATAGATCACTGTTAGTTTGAATTGTAACCCCATCTACCCTCCTTGGTTCTATAACTCTTCACACCCTGACCTAACAGAAATGATCAACTGTAGTTTTGCGATTTTCAATTTAGCTTTTTGAAGGACAGCTTCAGATTTTCACTACCTTTTGTGAAAAATGCTTTCAGGTTCCACTCCTGAAGAACCTAGGCCTTGTTTTGGACTCTCCTACGAAAGACAATAGTTTCTATCTACCTGATCAAGTCATTAATTATAAACATCTCATTTTAATCTTCTGTACAACCTGGCCTTATCATTTTAGGCCCAACACCATTCAGGTTTAATACATACCCATTATCTCTACTCTCATGTCTAACTTTTCTCCAAGCCTATCAAACACAGCAGAGATGTTGTGAAAGATGAAGAACAGTGAACAAAGTCACAGGATGCCTTTATTTAAAGCTATTTCAACGATCTGGCATAAGATGTGATAACAGCAGATTTGGAGGGAAGAGGGATGGTGCTCAAACAGAGAAAACCCTTTACAAGAAAAGTTGGGCTCTAAGTAATTTAGGAGCAATAGGGTCCAGCAAGCGAGGGCTATGAGATTAGGACAGAAAATAAAGGAACATGCAAGCTCATGACAAGGGCAGGAGAAAACACCTCATATGGGCAGTCAAGGGAAAGGGGGATAATGCCAGAGAGACAGTTAGTTGCAAAGATTGTGAATATGCCATCAAGTAGTCCTCACAACTCCGGTTAGTGAAACTATTATTTTTTGGAGGCGGCGGGGAGGTGAGAGAGAGGGAGCGAGCGAGAGCACAGAGATAAAGAATAAGGATGAAGGTGACAATTGGTAATGAAGAGAAACCAAGGATGACCATGGAATACAGACAGCTTTGGAAGAAGAGAACAGAGGCCAATAATACTCGACGTGGTACAGCTAGAGCTGGTAATAAATGGCTCAACATCAACCAGCTGTACAACATATAGATAGGAACAGAAAAGCACTGAATCTTTAAGCCTGCTACCATCATCTAATTAAATGGTAAAGATCCGTACCTCATACTCTGTACCCAACACCCCAACTTCCAGCCTCAGGCAACTGTGTGAAATTTGCAAGTTCTTCCTGCGTCTGTGTGGGCTCCCCCCCTCCCCAGGGCTCTGGTTTCCTCCCACAATCTAAAGCTGTGCAGGTTAGGTAGACTGGTCATACCCGTAAGTGTTCAGGGACGTGTAGGCTAGGTGAATTAGCCATGGTAAATGTGGGGTTACAGGATATGGTGGAAGGCTAGGTCTGGGTGGGATGCTCTTTGGAGGGTCAGTGCTAACGCAATGGGCCAAATGGCCTCCTTCTGCACTGTAGGAGCTCTATGAATATTTTAAAAATAAATTAATTTGAGTTTTGAAAGCACCATGTATCCCATCTTTCAAAGTTCCTCTGGGAAAAGAATTCCAGTTGTGGGTGTGAAAAAGTCTTTGATTCCCCAGATGACTAGATCTAATTTTAAGATGACCATGTCCCTTCACCCTCGATGCCCAGAAGGGATTGTTTCTCTGCACCTATGTTACTGAGTCCCTTTAACATTTTAAGTACCTTACACTATACTACAAAGCATTACAAGCCAACTTATTCTCTTAATTTAACCCTTTAAACCTCATTCAATTCTCTGCCCACTTAAAATTAGGAGTAAAAATGGGGGTGGCAAAGCATGCCAGGAGAATGATGACTAAGGTAAGAGAGCACAAGGGTTTTACAGGGAATAGGATAACATAGTTGAAGATGAGGCATAATTGAAAGATCAGTAGTTGCGGAAGCATCGTGGCAAACAGGGACCAAATTGGTCTTGACTATGATGGAGGCATGGGAACAGACTCGGAACGTAAGATGGTGGCTCCGAATCCGGGCAGGAAAGCTCATCGGGAAATCAGTCGCAACCCACAGGTTTGCAAACCAAACAGTGCGATTCAAGTTTCGGCCTCCACAGAATTTAGAATGTGCAGATAGCATTTTCACGAAATGGGCGATTACAAATGATGCCGCTAGGACTCGCAGAAGTTCCAACACACGCGTACGCAGCGTGACAGTTAGGGCCGCACGGTAAGATACCGGTCCAAAGGGGGTGGGAAGCATTTTTTGAGAAGCTGAAGTTGATTGCATATGGCCTGACCGGTCCGGTGCGCGCATGCGCGCCGTGTCTGGGGCGGCCAACTTGCAGCGAAGGCCGAAGCCCCGGGTTACCGCTCGCTCACTCGCACACGCACCACAACGTACCGCAACCCATTCGGCAGCCGTTCGCCCCGCGTTTATTTGCCCCCGACACGCCACGGGCCTCCCAACCGCCCAACGCGACGTCCGGTCACCCCGCTTTCCAACGCAAATAAGTGAAGGGGGAAAAAAAAAGAGGGGAAAAAAGCCACAAGTTGAACGCATTTTTGTCCCTTTTTCCCGGCCCCGCGCGACACCCGCAGCTACTCACCTGAAGACGCCATGTTGGAGAATGACCACTGACAGAACCCGGATGTCGATCTCACGTGACACCTAAACTTCTTGGCAGTTGGAAGGTAAATTTTGTGGTTCGCGATTGTTTGGTTTAAATAAAGCGCAGGCGGTCAATTTTTTCATTGTTTTTCGAAAACATGTTGCAAAATGACCGTTTTGATATAAGATCACTTTAGAACCTGAAAAGAATGGAAACACTGGGTTATTTGTGAACAAACAAAAATCTAGTCAGCATTTCCAGGTTTTTAAAATAAAATTAGCTTTCCAGCACCAACAGAAAGTTTCTTTTTGTTCACATTTCTATTAGGCAGTTTGCATATGATAACTAATCTGTCAATCTATAGATCTACGACTTAATACCAATTTTCCCACAGCCACAAATCCCAACATGTAATGCTACCCCTTAACTAGCACAACCACCTCTTGTGATTCCTCCACTGTTCATTGTGAAACATAACCAACATCCCTGATAAGTCAAAATTTCCTTTAATTAAAAGCACTGGCAAGACTGAAACCTTGGCCTTTGTTCCCCTTTATCCTTTGGGGAGTGGGGGAGGGTGTTAAAAGTCTAAGAGTTATAATTAATAAGCTTTTAACTGTAAGTTTAAAATTAGAGTCATAGGCCATTCAAGAGAGAAGTCAGCATACACTTCACACAAAGGCTGGGTAGAAGTGTGGAACTTTCTCCCTAAAAGAATGGTAGATACAACCTCAAAATTTTGAGTCTGAGATCGATAGATCTTTGCTATATTCCAAAAGGAAAAACCAATAAAACTTCCAAACATGTTGCTGTTTTTATTCCTGATTTCTTCCATAGGCAGTGAGCTGATGAGGATGGAACACTAACACTCCAGGCACCTTCCTTTTTCTCCCTTAATTACCACAAGGCACCAATACATCGTTCGCCTTCTAAAATGAACAGCCACACAAGTCACCCTTCACACTGCACTGTGGTTAAGTCGAGAGCACGAATTCTGTATCACTATGTTCCCAAATTGGGGGGAAAAAAAAACAGCAAAACTGGGAAATAATGCATTGATCATAGTGCAGTTCCTTTCTCAAGTGTGCAAAATAAATCGGACCAATAGTCATCATTATCAAGTTTTAATTGGGTTATTTTCTTCTATCCAGCACCTTAAAAAAAATTCCTTTCTTTCAGCGTAAAGAGTTGCAACTGATAGAGATCTACCACATCTACCATCCCTATCTAGTCTGGGCCTACATGTGATTCTAGTTCCACATCACTGTATTAAATGCCCTCCGAGGTGGCAGTCAAGATGCTCAGTTGCAATAAACTGCTACAAAAGGTAGCATTTGAAGAAGAAAGCCATCATCAACAATTTATTAGGGCACCTGGGAATGAACAATAAATACTAGCCTTGCCAACTGCTACCAACCTGAATATTCATTTTTATAAACTTATTTTCAAGTTTACACTCTCTTTTCCTCCAGATCAGTAAATTATATTATGAGTAGGGATCAGAACATGATTATTTTCCTTTCAATTATATAACAACTTGCACATACAAAGCACCTTTTATATAGAAAAGTGGCTCACTTCATTGGTACCCTTGCTGCTGGACTTGATATCTACTTCTTGGTCACTGGTGTGCCTTGGCTGCAACATGTACAATGTATAAGATGAACTTCAATGATACACCAAGGTGACCTCCACAGCAGCTCCCTCTCTGTGACTTCTAACACAAAGAAGGACAAGGACAGCAGTGTTATGGCATCACCATTACCTCTAGGTTTACCTGCAAGTCACACACCATCCTTGTTTAACTATAGAATAGAGGAAGAAAGACTTGCATTTATATAATACCTTTCATGATCTCAGAGCCTCTTTATAGCCAATGAAGTAATTTTTCAAGTGTAGTCATTTTTTAAAGTATAAAAACGTCAAAGCCAAACTGCTTGGCAGGATCCTGTGCCATCAATGAGAGAAATAATCCAATAATCTGTTTTAGTTTTGTTTTGATTGAGAGCTAATTATTGGCTGGTGTCACAAGGAGCTCCCCTCTCCCCTCTCCCCGCTCCCCGCTCCCCACTCCTCACTCCTGCAGCTGCACTCTGGATAATTCCAGGGGATCTTTTGCATTCGCTTGAGAGGGCAGAAGTATCATTTGAATAATGGCACCAGTGACAACACAGTGCTTCCCCAGTACTGCGCTGGAGTGGTGGCCTAGATTATGTGCTTATATTTTGGAATAAGGCTTGAACTCATGACCTTCAGAAACAAGACAGTACTACCTGCTGTATTAACGCTGACATCATTCTTGCCTTTATTACTTGGCCAAGATCTGAGAATTCCCTATCTAATACAAATGTAGAAGTTCCATCACCACAAGAACTGCAGTGATTGAAGTAGAAGCGCTAGCCACATCTTCTTGGAGCAGCTAGAATGTAGGAAATGAATGCAGCCCTGCCAGTATTGCCAGCATCCCAGTAAAATATTTTTGAAATCATTGAACTGAGGCATTTCACAAAGACACATCAAAACCTTGGCTCAGACTATAGTTTTAAGGGAGGCTTTTAAAAATGGAGATAGGTTTGAGAAGAGTGTTCCATACAAGACAACTGAAGGTTCTGTCACTCATGGTGAAGTGGAAGGAGGGAGGAAACACTTAGGAAGCCTGAGTCAGAAAATCAAACTTTGCCGGAGGGGATGGAAAGCTCAAGAAGGTTGCAGAGGTTGGGTGAGGAATGAGATCGTGAAAAATTTGTAGAAGAGGATGACTTGATCTGTTCATTAATGGTGAGCCAGTGTAGGCCAGCAAGGACATTCAGATGTGGACTGTGGAGTTTGGGTGATTTGGAATTTATTGTAGTCAAGTGGCAATAAAGAAGATGTGAAATAGTCAAGTCTATTGATGGAGGCATAAATGTTGGTCCCTATAGTTGAAGGTGGAGTAGGGTACATAGATTAGCAATGTTGTGGGTTTGGAAATAAATGATCTTGATAATGCATAAGATATAGAGTTTACGCTCAGCTGTGGATCAAAATGAAAGCCAAGGATTTGACATTACACAGAAGTTACAGCATTGAAACAGGCAATTTGTCTCTACTGGTCACTATTGCCTTTTATGTTCCACAAAAGCCTCATGTAATCAACATATCCTTCTGTAGCTCTCTTTCTCATGTATTTCTCCTTAAATATGTCAATGCTATTCACCTCAACAAGTCCTTGTGATAGGGAGTTCCACATTCTAACTACTCTCTGGGTAAAGTAGTTCCTCCTGAATTCCCTGTTAGATTTATTGTTGACTATTTATGGCCTTTATTTTGGACTTGTTAATAAATGAAATATTTTCTCTGACTATTCTATCAAGACCTTCTAAAAGCTTCCAGAGAAAGGAGCCTAAGGCAGTTGTTCTCAATATTCAGTTGGACAAAATTATGGCTCATCTGCAATCTAGGTAAGAACTGACAAAAATAAGTGTTTCTAATTGATACTCTTCAGATTTAGCTGAATTTATTCTGATTTTTCTAATCTTCCGATTGATTTTGCCTCCCTAATATTCAGTTTGTGGTTCAGATACACAGTTTGCTACTTTAAAAAAACCTGAAATAACTGTGGATGTTGTAAATCAGGAACAAAAACAAAGTTGCTGGAAAAGCTCAGCAGGTCTGACAGCATCTGTGAAGGAGAAAACAGAGTTAACGTTTTGGGTCCGGTGACCCTTCCTCAGTTCTGCTGAGCTTTTCCAGCAACTTTGTTTTTGTTCACAGTTTGCTACTATTCAGTGTGTTAAGCACACTCTTAGAGTCCATCAAATTGCATGACCTAACAGTGAAGTGAATGAATCACCCCACTCATAGAAACATTGACAATAACATTCGTAATAACAAGCACGATAATAAGTCTTAATACAGTAGATTAATGCCAGTAATACTGTTGTTATGGCTCCTGTTGGAGAGATCAAAGGGAACATTCTATGCAACTATACTGGTTACACCCATTCTTCGTGTACTAAGAGGCTACAATTCACTGAAAAATGATGGGATATGAAACGTGAGACAGCATATGTAACAGTGCCATTAAATTCTGCTGCAGTTGACTCCTTAATCGCGGTGAATGTCAGCTCTTAGGAAGTGGAAAGTGTTCATCGTGTAACTTGAAATAATAACAATTACTGAAGGCCCCAAATTAATGTTCTTGACATGGCCCTTGTATCAACTCAAATTGAAGATATTGCAGAGCAGAATTTTCTCTTTAATTTAGCGCCCTCAAGAGGTGCCTTTGTAACATGTAAAACTGCAAAGCTGTGGTCAGAGCAGACTTTCACTCAATGACTTGACTCTCCCAGCTGAGCATCTTGAACATCTAAAGAGGGTTTTCATCATTTAGTATCCATAAACAACCTTTTAGTAAAAGATGTTTTAAATTGGCTCCGTCCCAGACAGATAAGAAAAATAGAAACAGGAGTACACCGGGTGTCCAGCCATTTTGCTAGCAGGCAGCTGTACCTCTTTAGTTTAAATTTTTCCAGATCTCTTAATAGTGTAGTATCTGCCTCATTGTCAGAGGTGCCATAGTGGGGGAAAAAACAAATTAAACCAAGATACTGCTTGTCTACTCCAAATACTTCAGGTGGTTTTCTAGCGCATTTTTAAGAAGAGCTAAGCAGTTTTCCAGGTATTCGAGTCAACAATCAAGGAAAGCAGATGAACTGGTCATTCAACTATTTATAGAACCATGCTGTGCACGAAATGGCTGCTATGTTCATCACCATAACAATGACTATTCTATAGTCCAACTATAGGGGAGGGGAGACAACAAGGTGCAGGGCTGGATGAACACAGCAGGCCAAGCAGCATCATAGGAGCAGAGAGGCTGACGTTTCGGGCCTAGACCCTTCATCAGAAAAGGGGGAGGGGAAGGGGGTTCTGAAATAAATAGGGAGAGAGTGGGAGGCGGATAGAAGATGGATAGAGGAGAGGATAGGTGGAGAGGAAACAAACAGGTCGAAGAGGCGGGGATGGGGCCAGGAAAGGTGAGTGTAGGTAGGGAGTTAGGAAGGGGATAGGTCAGTCCAGGGAGGACGGACAGGTCAAGGGGGCGGGATGAGGTTGGTCGGTAGGAGATGGAGGTGCGGCTTGAGGTGGGAGGAGGGGATAGGTGGGAGGAAGAACAGGTTAGGGAGGCAGGGACGAGCTGGACTGGTTTTGGGATGCGGTAGAGGGAGGGGAGATTTTGAAACTTGTGA